GGTTTAATCGGACGCTCGCCACCCAGCTGGCCACCCTGGTGTCCCGGCACCAACGGGACTGGGACCGCCACCTCCCCCTTGCACTCTGGGCGTATAGGACCGCGGTCCAGGAATCCATCGGGTGCACCTCAGCCTCGCTCATGCTGGGCCGGGAAATGCGAACCCCGGTGGACCTGGTCTTCGGCCTGCCGCCCGGAGACGGGTCTGAACCGCCGGCTGGACCGGACTACGAGTGGGACCTGCAGCAGCGGATGCGGCAGAGTGCACAGCTTTGCACGGATCCACCTGACTCAGGCGATGGTCCGGCAGAAGCAGCACTACGACCTGCGCTGCAGGGGGCCTGCCTTCCAGCCCAGGGACTCGGTTTGGGTGTACAGCTCGCACCGCCGCAAAGGCCTCAGCCTTAAGCTGGCGCCATCGTGGGAGGGGCCCGCTGAGGTACTCGGGGTGGTGGGCCAGGTCTGCTACCGTGTGTGGTGGTCCTGCACCGAGATCGCCTGGCGCCCTACCGGGCCCGGGAGGAGGAGCCGTGTGGGGAGGCTCTAGAGGAGCAGCCGGGGCTAGAGCCGGCCGATAGTGGGGCGTCCGTGGGTCGCCAGCCGTCACCGCGGCGCAGCGGTCGCTCACGCAGGGTTCCACAGCAGTTAGCTGAGTACCAGTACAGCCTGAGGGGGGTGTTCGACGTCGGCCAGACGCCAGACGCCAGACGCCAGACGCCAGACGCCAGACGCCAGACGCCAGACACTTCAGGTGGGGGCAGTGTAACGCCCTCGCCTGGTGGTGAGGAGGAAGCACCCCTAGGCGCTCGTAGTACCGCTGGGCATGCTGGGAGTGGTAGACGGGGAGAGTCTGAGGGTCAGCACGATGACCAGCGGCTGACCCTACCTGTTTAAATAATGTTCTAGTAGTTCTAGTGCCCTGTGTAGTCTTATAAAAGTATAGCGTGTTGTTAAGTAATTACCACCCTAAAGATGTGTACGTGTTCCGTCAGTCTTTTCATGTGCGTGTATATCCTGTGTTTGGTTTTGTGTGGTTGTTAATGAATAAAACTAGCGCTTGGTTTGTTAATCGCGTCTCCACTGGTCCTTTGTTCTGAAAAGAACCTGTAAACGCTACAATATTATATATTATCTATTATATTTTGCAATTCTTTCATTGTTAGGCGTCTTTGATGATGAAGATGTCAGGTAAATCAATAAAATTATTATTCTTTTTATTGTAATAAGAAGGTGGTTTCCTCTCACTGGCTTTGACACCCTGTCTTTCAGTTAAGAGCTGCTAGCTGCCTTTGATATGGAGGTTCTTGTTCTATGTCTCTGTGCCACAGAGTCAAACAGGGTCCTTTTTCAGCCTGGAGATCTTATATTGCTTTTCAGAAATTCAAAAGCACAAAAGGGACACAGCTCCAGATTCTGACTTCAATATTTTATTTGAACATCTAGAGCGAAACAAACAATGAAAAATGTCCTAGACTACACAAACACACACCAGTTGCCAGACAAGCTGTAGTGACGGCCGGAGGCTGAGACTAACATGCAAGGCTATTGAGCTGCTGCATGGCTCGACAGGATCTGCAGACACACTGGGGCCGAGGGGAGGGCAGCTCTTCCCCTCTTCTCCCAGGACAGTGGCTGCGCGGGGAGGCCCTGAGCCCAGCCGGGCCCGGCGCATCACGCCGCGGCACCCGCACACTGACTCCTGCGGACGCTGTAGGAGGCTGGCGAGTTGTCTTGGGTCACCGTGCACACGTACTCCTCCTTGGCCTCCCACTCCTCCCACTCGGCCTTGCTCAGCTTCAGGGAGCTGCTGCGGCTGAACTTCCCATCCCTCCCCTCCTCGGCGCTGGTCAGGATCCCGCTGGTCACTTTGGAGCCGTCTACCGTCCATTCCACGCTGGCCCCCTCGGGGGAGTAGCCACTGAGCAGGCAGAGCAGCGTGGCCGAGTTGGCAGACAGCTCAATGGGGGACGGGGGGAACAGCGACACTGTGGGCTTCACGGTGGCGCCGGCTGGGAGAGAGCGAGACAGAGCAGGGCAGAGAGTCAGGACTGGTGTACAGCAGAAGACTGAGCCTCACTAACTTTGACAACACACACCGCACTTTGGGACTCC